TGAACAGTGTTTTTGCAATTGCCGTATATGGTTGGCAATTGCGGATGAACAGTGTTATCGCAATTGCAAATGAACAGTGTTTTTGCAACTGCCATAAAAGGTTCGCAATTGCGAATGAACAGTGTTTTCGCAATTGCCGTAAAAGGTTCGCAATTGCGAATGAACAGTGTAGCACCAGAACCCAGCAAAACCCAAACTTCTCCGAAATGATCTGAAACCACCCTAAAACTCATCCGGAACCTCCAGGACACAAACCATATATGAATTTCAATCATAAAACACGCTACGGACCTACTCGCGCACTCACAACACTAAAAAGAGGTTGTCTTAACCCGATATTAACCATGGCCAAACTCCCAAATTTCTTAACTTTACTAGTCTCTCAACCAATGATCCTAAAATACACCCAAGCCCCTCGGGACTCCAAATCAAATGAAATTTTCAAGAAAGCTTTGAAATCTCTAATTTTACCACCGGACGTCCGAATCACGTCAAACCGACTCCGTTTCCCACCAAATTTCACAAATAAGTCAAAAATATTATATTGGACCTGTAACGGGCTCCAAAACCAAAATACGGACCCGATATCAACAATGCCAAACATTCAATCAATTCTTAAGAACATTAGATTTTTCAGACTTTTAATTTTCAATAAAAATTCATAACTCAAGCTAGGGATCTCAGAATTCGATTTCGGGCATACGCCCAGATCTCATATTTCAATACGGACCTATAGGGACCGTCAAGATACGGGTCCGGGTCTATTTACTCAAAACGTTGACCGAAATCAACTAAAATTAACTTTTTAGGCAAAAAATTTAGTTTTATTAGTTTTTTTAGCATATAAGCCTCCCGGGTCAATATCCGGACTGCACACGCAAATCAAAGAAGGATAGCATGAGGCTCTAAAGGCTTCGAAATACAGAGTTTGGTTCTAAATCACCGAGCGAAGTGCAGATACTCAAAACGATCAGTTGGGTCGTTACATATTTATATCTTATTAATGATCAACTTCCAATATCATTCTCAAAACACATGTAATAACACACACCATTGGTAACACTAAAGCTTACATCAGCACATCTCAGATGAGCGAAAGGTACCAAAAAACAAATAGGATGCACAAACAATACAGCAGTACGCACATTTATTTCATATAATCACATCTCCAATTGAAGAAAATAGTAGATAATTCGCATTCATCACAAGAGTGAGCTTTCTTATGTTTTTTATGGGGCTTTAAGCTATGACTGAGCAATTATCATGTTATTGCACTGTATACTTTTTGCAACACATTTTATCTCTGTATACCAGCTGTTCGGGGAGCACCTGTAGCTTCAACTGTTGCGGGAAGCCTCTATGGAAGAGGATAATGTACTGTAAGAACAATATTATTTCCATTGAAGGATAAACTGATATTTTCGTAAGTTTTAACTTCTAAATTTCGCTATCCATGTACACTTAAATGTAGTCTTAGTTGTTAATATTGTACAGCTGAAATTACTGGTTCTTAAAATAAATAATTTACTACTCTTTGTATACCAGAAATGAGAAACTTAAACAAAAAATGAAAAAAAGAAACACGTAATGTGCAGCAGCTCCTGTAACACATACTCTAAGCCAAAGTTGATACTTCAGTTTGCATATTTCTTCTTAATTGTGGATGACATAAAACCAAAAGAAAGGAATTCAGCAGAACAACTATCAATCCAAAAGAAAAAGGAAGGAGAGTGTGCTAAAAAATTATACAATATGCATAATTGAATAGAGAAACATGAGGACAGCACAAAGCAAAAGGATCTTGAAGTAATATAGATAACAAGATGACTTTAAAAACACTTGAAGAGGCAGATGTCAAGAGCCAAGACTCAATATTCTGGTTACTTTAGTGTACCTTTTTTGTTAGATCTTTAGCTTTATTTTAAATGGTGGAAGCAAAGAAAAGAGTAAGCAACATTCAGAATATGAAAAGCCACCCAAATTTTGGATTGGCCACCCAATTCGCGGAGATGTGTGACTAAGGGCAGCAAAAAGAGGTACATTGTTGGTACAGCAAAAAGATTAATTTTCAATATCCATACCCCATCTTGTGAGTCGTATCAGACAAAAAAAATCGAAATCAAGTACTACTACAAGTTACATCAGATTAGTCACGGATGTGCTAAGCTTGTGAGTCGTGAAATATCAGTGAGAAACTCTAATGTTCTACGCATCCCTAGCCACATGTCATCCTTTCTATATTTTAAGTGAAAATAGACAGCACAATAATACTATTATTGGGAAGGAATAGAACTATTGGTTGGGTTCTTGTGATGCTTTCCTTTTGGGAAGATCAAAATATAAGTTTACTTCACTTGCTGCTTTTCTTCACCCAAAAACCAATTAAAAAAAAAAAAGAAATAATAACTTTCAAGTTATCAAAACCACCATCCATGATGAATCAACCTGTGGCCATCCATAACTCTAACCTCCATTAATAACCCTGACAAAAATTAATTTAGGCTGCACATTGTAATCTCAGGAGTGACATCCAACACAACTTAAATTTTGGCACTTTTGATTGCTTAGATGATGTTATTGATGCTCTATAAGTCCTACCAGTTACATTCTAGAGGCTTTCTCTATTTATTATATAGTTGAAAATTGTCTAAGAAACTTATCGGGTGCGGCTCTAATGTATCACTTATTGCTTAATTTAAACCCATCAACTTTGGCTCGAACATTGTATTAGTATTTGTTTAAAAAGCCACTAAATAAATACAAATAATCAATCTTAAACACAGAAAATCAAATTCTAAATCCCCAAATTGACCACTCAACTAAGCCGGAATTATAAGTTATTGATGTCGGATAAGATTAATTTTCAATATTCATATCCCATCTATCCAGGTGGACCCAGTTTATTACAAACAGTGGACTTAAAATAAAAATTAATCAATCATAATCTTTAATTATTTTTTCAAAATAATTACATGTATCCAACTGACATTGGATAATCATATATACCACAAAAACAAAGAAGGAACAAACAAAGATGTCTAAAGACTGAAAAGAGGGTAGCCGGCTTAAAAGGGGAACCTGACTTCAAGATTAGCGCAAATATTACGAACCAATTGCATGCCATAAATCTAATCATAAATCAACAGTAAACCCAAAAGCGAAAAACACCCCAAATAACCTATTAACAAAGTCGCCTATTTTCAAGGCAAATGGAAAAACAGGGAAGCAGAAGACACGCTAACTTTACAGAAGGCTATTTCGATGATAACCTACTTTATACTAACTGGGTTTGTTCTAGGTTTTTAGTAAATCAAAGAAATAATCTATTCCCCAAAATAACTTTGAAGTTATCAAAACCACCATCCATGGCGAATCAGCCGGTGGCCAGCCGTTACCTCCGTCAACAACTATGACAAAATTAGAAGAAGAAAAATCGAAATAATACAGCATGAACTGAACTCACCAAGATAAAACGCAAATCAGCTAACAGTGATAAAGTCGAAAAACCACAGCGAAAATAGAGAGAGATGAAAGAGTGTGTCTGAATTGCCACCCAAAACCCATTGGGCCTCAGAATCTTGCGAATCAGGTACGGTAATGTTGCTTTCAGGAGAGGTCGGCGGAGGAAAATCAAGTGCTTAATACCAACATCTTAGGTAACCTAAAATAAAAGCTAAAGCATTGAATGCATACTAATAAAACTTTAACAATAATTGAGAAAATTAATTATAAAAAGCTCCAGTGCAAGAAAAACTAAAGTGGCTTTACTTCGTGCATAAATAACACAAGGTGACTAGCATTCAGTGAGCAGCTCATATTGTCATAGCGCACATTTTTTGTGGTAAAAATTACCTTAAATCTTAACAGTAGAACACAACAGCACACCTTCACATGAAAAAAATATTTAAACATAAAGGAAAATAATGGAAGGAATGAACTTTAAGCCTGGTCAGACACTCTAAATCTACCAAGCTTCCTCTTTTACACTCTTTACAGTGTACAAAAAGATGGAGCAGATTCCAATTATGCAGGGGATAGTTGATCAACGAAATGTAGGTTACTTTTAGTAGAAGAAGCCCATATCGTATAGAGCCTTAACTCAATATGTTGGTACATGAATAGAAGAAAACCAATTGATGAAAGTATACTGCAAAGAATAAAGTGTATCCATTACTTAAAGAACAATTTGTGTATGGAAATTCTGTTTTTGGATGAATAGTAGTCTTCTACCATTTTTCGTTGCCTGGAGATGTGCTTAGTTCAAATAAATGATGCTATTGTTGGATTGCTTGAGCATGTTGTTTGTTTTTTTTCCCGTATTTTTTGGTTGGTTGAAAATTTGGTGATAGCTTGAGCATGTTATCTTTACATGCACTGAAGCAGTACAATTGTTGATAAAGGCACAACATTCTNGAAAATTTTAATAAATTAATTTTTGATCAATAAAAATAAAATGTATAAAAATCTATTCACCAAACAAAATATAATAAAATATTTAATCGTGGATATTTGACGATTTATAGCCATAAAATTATTGGTTGGTAGATAAATATAAATGCTATAATATAAATCTAATATGAGAGCATAGCTACGTGCTTGAATTTTGTAGCTAAATAAATAACACCTTTTGCCATTTTGTAGCTAAATAAATAACACCTTTTGACATAGTATATCCCTTTGTATCTAAAGTATGGAAGATAGCTACAACGTTAATTTATCGTGGCAAATGATAAAATTATTAGCTATAAATATATATTCTTTGTGGCAAAAAGTTTTATTAATATAGCCACATCACAAAAATTCTTGTAGCAATAAGTATTAATCCTTAGCCATGAAATGTTAAAGTTTGTAGCTAACTTTTAGTTACGCTACATCTAGCTACGGATGCTACGGAAAAAATTATTGTAGCTAAAGTGTTTAGCCATGAAAATTTTCATGTTTAGCTACAACATACTTCGTAGCTGTATATGCATAATGTTGTAGTGATTGTTTCATAGAGATGCAAAGGAAGAAGATCAAGCTTTACGAAACACTTCGATGGTAGATTTAAGGCTGAAAATAGTGCGTTCGAGGTTTCCAGAGGCAAAGCTCTATACTAATAGAGAGAGAAAATAGAAACTAGAATCTCATTGCAACTCTTTCTTGTTTTTTCCTCATTCGGTTACGTCTGCTGCTATGCTGGCTTCAAGGAGATAACATACCATTGAATCCACATCGTCCCCGAATATGCTATAAGCCTCTATTACTCGTGCATAACTAAATCCCATCGACAGCATAATCTGGATGCAGTCACTAAGAACTTCTCGCCCCCCACCTTCTTGCTTCGCTCCACTTCCCGATGACCCTGCAAGACCATAACCAGTTGATTCTATCACAATAGAAGAACAAACAAAAGAATCATGTATTGTTCATGAATGCCAATTCCCAAATGGAGTGTCGGCTCGAACTTACTAACTCCTGATGATGATGGTTCAGCGCTAGTAGTGGAAGATTCTCGACAACCAAGCTGCTGCCTGAATTTGTCATTGGCAATATACTCGGCCCTAGAAGCTTCCATTACCATGTGTTCAATCTCCTTTTCGGTGAGCTCAAGATCAGAATAAAAGCGTCCTTCTGCTAGAAGTGCCTGAATTGAACCATTTAACATAACACGAAAAATGATTGCCCGGTCTGCGAAAGTAATTCAGTTCACGAGTTTTAAGGTAACTCAAATTATCAATTTGCTGATCCTGTTGAGCTTTTATTGCTGCTTTGACCTGATCCTTATCAAGGTTCCTCTATACCAAAAATAAAAAATAAAAAAAATCAGAAGGTAAGGATGGAAAACAGACCTACTAGATGCTTTAGCTGACAAATAAAAAAAAAATAACACGACCCATATAAGTCAACACCCAAGAGCTGTAGGCACACAGCCGATGAAGTTTCACTAGTTTCAACAGCAACAGAAAGTAAACATCATGCCAGCTTGTAGCAGTGATAAGAAAAACGACCGCTTCCTCGCTTTAAGCGAGAAGCGAAGCCGAGCGGAGGGTCAGCGCTTCTGCCATTAAAAGCGACTCTAGTAAAAAAGGCGACCGCTTCTCGGTAAAAAGCGAGAAGCGGTGACAGCGAGAAGAAGCGAGGGAAGGGGACGCTTTTTAAATTAAAATACCCAAAGCCCTATTTAATTAAAAACATTGCATTCTATTTACTCTGGACTCTTCAGCAGCGAGATTAAACTAGCGAGAAACTAGGGTTCTCACAAAAGCAACGATTTCTTCCTCTCTTCTTCATTAACTTCAAGCAGCAATTTCTCTTCTTCAAACTAGGGTTCTTCTTCTTCTTCAGTTCTTCTTCAACAGTACAACAACAACTTTCAGGTATGTTCTGCACTTTTTAATTTCATTCTTCTTCTTCTTCTTTTTCTTTTTCTTTCTAAACGTCCAAAAAGCGGCGAAATGCTGGCGAAGTTTTTTGAGAAAAATTCTGCCCAATTTTTTTCCAGTTTCTGCCCAATTTCTGCCCTAAATTTCTGCCCAATTATTATATCTTTTATTCTTAGTTCTTATTGCCTTTCTTATGTGTTATGTAGAAGAATAGGATGCACATTTTGTGCTTTAATTGATGCTACTCTTTAGTTTTTTAATTGAAGTATTGAACATTTGCTTACAATTACATGTGTTGTCTATGCAGTATTTATTTTAATTTTTTTTTTAATTCCGCTTCACTTAAAAAAAGCGAGCGCTTCGCTTCTCGCTTTTCGCTTTACGTGAAATGGGGGTTGTCGTTTTTCCTCGCTTCACGCTTTTCACAACACTGGTTATTGATAAGAAATTTTACCCCTTGTAGAGAGCTAAACCCAAGGCCAGCACCAACTGTTAGTCGATGTGGATCAACAAGAGAGTTGTAATGATTTCCATGATGAAAGCTGAGTCGAATAGGAGGGCTGTCTGTATTGTAACTACCATGGAATGTATTGATTGGTTCTGCATTAGTGAATTCCACAAATTAAATTCGCGCAGCGCACACATAGTCCACAGAAGCTTGCCTAGTAGTCATAGATTCATTACTGATATTTGACAAAAGAATAACAAAAGAAAAGTTACCTGTGCTATAAGAGTATATATGAATAGGGCGATTATACATTTCACACAGTGCTTGAATCTCCACATTGTTGCCATAAACCTACAAAGCCAATCATGAGAATCATTATTTTGATGGCCCAAAAAAAAGGACATGGGAAAGGACAAAGACATGCATGAAATACATATATGTCAAACAGACATAAGCAAAACAGGAGCCACAGCAAAGATCACACAAGCTCTTGAAAGAAATTGATGTCTGCAGTTGATATAAGCTCTTTAACTTCTCTAACTTCCAGGTTTTTCTTTTATTTTTCCTTTTTTCGATAAGGAAACGATATAGAAGGTTTTTAATCATCGGACGCTAGACTCGAACAGCAGCCAGAATCTCTTTAGCACAAAAGTTTCATAAAATGAAGGAAGTGATATAAAAGTAATCAAGAAGCACAAAGGTAAGAGCATAAATGGTGAAAAAGGAAAAGAAAATAAAAGCTAAGTACAGCATTACTACCTCCCCCCCCCAACCCCCCCCCCCCCCACCACACACACAAAAACTTAAACTTACTGAGAAACTCAAAGAAATTATCTCTAAGACCATAAAGTGGGCATACCTTTTGCAATGTATAGCAAATGACTGAAAATATTTACCAGCCTGACAGAAACAACAAATGAGAAAGGGAATAATATACTAATGAACTGCCACACAAAGTACCTTATCTCTCCTTTTTCTCTTGCAATAGGAAGTGAAACCTTCAGTTATAAATTGAGAGAAGTGGTCCCTTTCCCGCTCCTATCACAAAGAAGCCCATCCAAGTATTAAACAATGAGAGGGATGCTAAATAGGTTTTGCAGAAATATAGTCATGATTAAGAGAACTTATCAACCTTCAGAACATGAAACATAGTAAATATAACTTAAATACTCCAGCCACAATGTACACATGGTCGGATTCCTTCAGAAATAATAGTGTTTTTACTCTCTATTAAGGACTGGGATGCCAAGGGAACACGACACCAGTTGATGATGCATCAGAGGAAAAGTGTTTGGAATAATAAAATAATAATCCCGCCCAGGAACAATACCCACGGTAAATAACAATAACACAAGAAAGTAACAGCGACACCAAATATTTTAACGGGATAAAATACAATATCCCAATGGAGCAATATTACCACTATAATATTACAACTTAGTAGTGTCAAGAGACTACTACAACTTCGAAAGAAATAACACTCTTTATTTTAAACACCTCACTATAATATTACTCCCACTCACTATTTATCTCACAGACTACAATCTGTGGATTACTCTCTCTAACTCTCTGTTGCTTCTCTCTCTTTTTTGGTGTGTTTTAAATGAGGAACGAAGCCTGCTATTTATAGCAAAACTTGCCAAACTTTCAGCCAATCAAAATTGTTGATTCATTGCAAGTTGCCAACGTCCAGGCTTGGTTTTGGTTTTAGCCTTTGTTGCAACTTGATTCTTGTTTCAGCGTTATTGCACAAGTTGCAATTGCAACTTGTTGTTATCATCTTCCCTTTTTAATTGCTTTTGTTTTTTATTTTTTTTCTTTTGTTTTGATTTGGCCCTACAAATCTCTCCCTTAATTTTGATTTTTCTTCTTCATTTCAAGTCTTGATATCAATCTCTGAAAATCTTCAAATTTCAGAGGCTTGGTGAAAATATCCGCAACTTGATCATGAGATTTCACATACTTGAGCTCAACTTCCTTTTTGGCAATGCTTTCTCTGATGAAGTGATACCTTGTATCAATATGCTTGCTTCGATCATGATACACTGGATTCTTCGCGAGTGCCTGTGCGGATTTGTTGTCAATACAAATCTCCGTAGCTTCAATTTGTGGTAAATTGAGCTCCTTCAATAATCTTCTCAGCCAAATAGCATGACATGTACATGATGTTGCTGCTATATATTCAGCTTCACAAGTTGAGAGAGTAACAATTGATTGTTTCTTTGAACTCCAAGAAATAACAGAATTACCCAAGAAAAATACAAAGCCAGTTGTACTTTTTCTATCATCAATATCTCCGGCATAATCACTATCACAATACCCCATAAGGTTGAAATCATTAGAAGAAGAATAAAATAACCCAAAGTCAGTCATACCTTTTAGGTACCGAAGAATTCTTCTAGTGACTTTCAAATGAGTGGAGGTAGGAGCTTCCATGAAGCGGCTTACTACTCCAACTGCAAATAGTATATCTGGCTTGGTACAAGTCAAGTACCTTAAACTTCCCACAAGACTTTTGAAAAATATGGGATCCACCTTTTCTCCTTCATCAAACTTGGACAATTTTGTCCACTCTCCATCGGTGTGTTCACGGGGTTGCAATCGAGCATGTTGAACTTCTTCAATATCTCTTTTGTATAGCTTTCTTGAGAGATAAAAATTACCATCCTCCATCTGCTTCACTTCTAGGCNAAATGAAGGAAGTGATTTAAAAGTAATCAAGAAGCACAAATGTAAGAGCATAAATGGTGAAAAAGGAAAGAAAAAAAAGCTAAGTACAGCATTACTACCTACCCCCCCCCCCCCCCCACACACAAAAACTTAAACTTACTGAGAAACTCAAAGAAATTATCTCTAAGACCATAAAGTGGGCATACCCCCCCCCCCTCCCCCAACCCACACACAAAAGCAATTTCTCTAATGGATGCTAAACTTACTGAGAAACTCAAAGAAATTATCTCTAAGACCATAAAGTGGGCATACCTTTTGCAATGTATAGCAAATGACTGAAAATATTTACCAGCCTGACAGAAACAACAAATGAGAAAGGGAATAATACTAATGAACTACCACACAAAGTACCTTATCTCTCCTTTTTCTCTTGCAATACGAAGTGAAACCTTCAGTTATAAATTGAGAGAAGTGGTCCCTTTCCCGCTCCTATCACAAAGAAGCTCATCCAAGTATTAAATAATGAGAGGGATGCTAAATAGGTTTTGCAGAAATATAGTCATGATTAAGAGAACTTATCAACCTTCAGAACATGAAAGATAGTAAATATAACTTAAATACTCCAGCCACAATGTACACATGGATTCCTTCAGAAATAATAGTGTTTTTACTCTCTATTAAGGACTGGGATGCCAAGGGAACACGACACCAGTTGATGCATCAGAGGAAAAGTCCACTCAGATTTGCTTTATTTTTGAGAAAGGACTGCTATACTGACTTAGATTTGTGCAAGAAGCTGACAAAATGAACTGAAAGACAAAACAAAGAACTACATACAGACATTATAAACCTGCAAGCAACCCCCATCCTTCCCCAAAAGAGAAAAAAGAAAGGTGTTGGGCACACAGAACCTTACTTATCCGTGAAACGCTACTATCTGATTTTTCTGTAGTTGAATAACATAAACATGAGCGCCCGAAACAAACAAAAAAAAATAAAAAATTACCCCCAAGGGCATGGCCTAGAGGGTAATCGTTGAAAGAAGAAATCGGCAAGCAAAACCACAGTAATTATTACTCCCTTTGTTCTATTTTATGAGACAATTGGCTGATTTTTCTCTAGGTCCATTCCAGAAAGAATGGCACCTTTCTATCTATGAAAGCAATTTAACTTTAAGCCTCCCATTCACCCTTAATGGCATGCTTTTATATGCACAAAATCTCATGGCATGTTTTTTTTTTGATTTGCACCGGGTGTCCGAGTCTTTATGAGACCCGACTAATCCCGGGGGTGCACAGGCCCTCGGCAAGGAGTTTCCCGCAAGTGCACCACGGTTAATTCAGGTTTTACCCAGTCCGATGGCCCTCAGAAATTGTTTGCACCCAGTGGGTTTCAAACTTGAGACCTTGAAAGGGAGCAAACCCCAAGGCTCAAGTCTATTGCCACCGGGCCACAAGTTCCTAAGTTTTTTCTTTCTTTTTAAACTCTGTGGCTAGTCAAACTAGGCCACAGATTGAAACGGAAGGGAAAAAGCAGGGCAAATTGTTGCAAACGTAACAAAGTTTAGCATTTTTAGAGAGCTGATTGTCATTGGTCTCAGGGAATGCTAGAGCGGGAATCATAAATGGCAGCATGCCACCTGAAGATGAAAAAGTAGCTCCTTCGCCATGTAATGGAATTTATTTGTGTTGACGTCTGGGAATTTTGACATGCATTCCAAATTAAATTGGAATTTGAACAAACACAAACCACCAATTACTTAAATATCCTTATGACAATGTTAACATTAAAGATTAGCCACACATATTTCTAATGTCTTCATTGTCAATTATGCCAAGAAAAACATATTAAGACAAATTGCGCATCATCTGCATTAACCAACTCTTGTATTCTATGAGCTGATCTACATTGAGTTGCAAAATTTACTGCTTCAATTTCCATATGGGAGACATTTGTGTTTGGTATGATGGCAAACATTTTCCAGAAAAAGATTCACATACTCTCTGGCGGAAGTTATTTTCCTTCACAACTATCTCAACTCTTTTTTTTTTTTTTGGTGATACGGCACAACTATCTCAACGCTTAACATCACATCACTGCTCCAACCAACAACTAAATTTTCATAAAAGCATTATCCAATTTGAAATTTTCATAAAAGCACATCCAATTTGCTAAAGTTGTTATCAATGTTTAATAAATGTTCTTTCTGAAATAATATTACCTGTCCAACAAAACAACCAAACAATAAGTCATTTCCAGGAACAACATTTCTAAAAACAAATCATACTAATCACATCATATGTACTATATATTTTTTCTTTGGGATAAGTTACATGTACATCTACTATCAAGCCATCAAATCCTCTCACTATATTATACAGCAGATATCTACTTCTTTATGCTAGCTTTTTCTTTTTACTTTAATTTAAGTTTAACTCAATACATTAAGTAATATATTAATTCATATAATATCTTGAATGATGGAGAAGAAGAAAAAGTTATCACACAGTCGCAGTCCCTGCATTTTTTATTATATCCTGGCCTGTAAATCCTGTAGTTCCCCCAATTTGTTAACTACAAAATTGGCAATAGACTAAAAACTGAGGTTCTGCTAGTGGTCAAAGGAAAATTCTTATAAGTATGCCAGCTATCGTACCTAGTAATGTCGAAAGAAACTAGAATCAAGCAAAATAGAATTTCTCAACCTAGCAACAAAAGAAAGTAATACAATCAAATATTGTTACATCACTTCATAAGCGACACCTTGGTAGAAACATTACCATGTAGTCAATGCACATCTGTCTGACCAAATCGTAAGCTTCAGAATCACCATATACTTGGTCAGCAACAGCACGGAAGAGGCAGTTCCCATCTCCCAACATTTTCTTAACTTCTAAGCTTTTGGTTCGTCTAATATCCATTTCAAACTGCCGCTCTCTCTCCTAGAACAAAGGAAACATGTTTTTTTATGAAGTAAGTGAGACTGTGAGAGTTATTAACAAAAGGCATCAAGAAGATGCAGATGTTACAAAGAAACAGAAAGTATCAGCCCAAAAATATCAACAAAAGATCTATCATAAGACTAAGGAGCTGATAAATTCCAAAAAGGATTCAGGGTTATAAACAGGGGTAAGATTAACCCAGCTAAAAAGATTAACTAAACAAAAGAAACATGTTAACATGCAAAGGGAGACATATTGAAAGCCTTGCTTGTCCTCAAATAGCTTTAACTCTAGATACACAAGATACAGTGACTTCTTCACTCGAGGCCACATCGTGAGAGCAGAATCTTCCCTTACTAGCCAGCTTTCTCAAACTTATCTATTCGGTATAATTGATCACCAACTGATTAGAATGCATAAGGTAGGTGAATGGAAGTAAATATCCTAATTATAAATGCTAAAGAGACACAGTCAATTCTTATTTCCCAAGCCTAGAGGGGCATAAATTATCTGTAATCTACTATTTAATTGATAAAATGGTGGAACATACCACATCATCATATGAGGATCTAAAGCAGGGGTTCTGCTCATCAGCACTATTATAACCTTCATCACAGTGTGATCGTGGAGAGGATGGCCTGGATCCAGCAGGTGAGGTCCTAGTTGAGACAGTAGGTCGCCCAGCAGTTCCCCTAGACGATCCTATCCGGCCAGCATGTGAACTACCCAACGGGAATCTTCCAGGACTCGAGTTTAGTGAAGCAGGTTTCGGTGGTGGGACAGGAGGTGGAGGTGGACATGAACTACATGTAGCCCTCTGAACTGAACTTCCCTCATTTTCCACTTCCACAACTCTCAAACCATCAAATTCCCTAGCCAAGTCCTCACTGACAAAACCACCATCTCTCTTCTCATTGTCAGCAATCTTTTCGTCATTGGTGCTTTGGTCGCTGCCAAAACTATCCAACAATTCATCATCACCCTTAACACCCTTGTAGTTTGAAGAACCAATGGAGAGCTCTTCTAAAGCAACCTGTTCTTGTATTTCTTCCAAGAAATCATCATCTTTCGCAACTGATAGTACCTGACCGTTACTAGAAGCCTGTGTCTGGGTTGGAGCTGAAGAAGAAGATGAGCCAGGGAGCGAAGATGATGACCTGTTCTGATTTGAGGACGAAGACGATGAGGCTCCAGCGGAACAACGCTGAACCAGTATCCGAGTCATTTGGGGTAGTCTTCTTCAGCCTGGAACCTATGAAACACTTGAGTTTTCCTTTACCCGAAGTTAGAGAAACAAAGCGCTTGCTTTGAATTTGTCATGCTTCCTGGCCTTTGGGGCAGTAACACCAATGCCTTGGCTGAACGATTTGTCCCAGCACTCCACTTCTGTCTGATACTCGCAAAGTAATTTCTGCATTCCCCTAACAATTCTCATGAGACCTTGATCTCCAATAATCTTATTTTGAAACAAGAAAACCTCTTTTCCTAATGGTACTCAAAATTACAAAGTAAAGCCCCGATACAAAGTTCACCTCCACTATCACAACTGCAATCAAGACCATCAAATCACCACAAAAGGCTAAGAAAAACAAAGTTATAACCCAAAAAGAATAGAACAAAAATCACCCAATTCACTTCGCTTAACCACAAGAACACTCCACAATACAAAAACCCAAAAGTTCAAAAAGAGAATCTATGATTTTTTCATAAAGCTAATATATTACTCCCTCCATCTCACTTTATCTGACACAATTACAATTTGGAGAGTCAAAGGAATTTTTCTTCGAGCGCAATTTTTTCATATGCCTTTTAAATCCCTTGAATTGTTAATTACTGTGACTAATTAGTATTTTTTGTGTAGTTTCTAGATATGTATATTAATTCAACAAACTTGAAGATTTGATGTCCGGGTTCACACTATGAATTACAGAGTATAACCCTCATACTCCCAATCGTGTCACATAATGTGGGACGGAGGGAGTACTTGTTTTTTACTTACCCTCTAATAAGCCATGCTAGTTTCAACAAAATCAAGAAAAATTGGAGGAAAAACTCAGATATCCACACAACAATCAGAGAAAACACAGAAAAGATCATAAATTCACAGGGTAATAAATAAACACACAACCCCAATTCTTTGAAAAAACATTAGAAACTTTACCACAAAGATGTCAAAATCAGATTTCAAGATTCAAGAATTCAACCTAACTACCGAAAACCCACAAACAAAATCAACAAATTATTAACATAATTTTAAATAGAACCTATCTCAAAATACAAAAACAATTCAAAAACCCTAGAGTTTGACTTACTTGATTTAGAATCAGCAGCAGCAGCAGCTAGTAGAAGCTAGGGTTTTATTAGATGACAAATTTTGAGGAAAGGGGAAAATGGATACAAAATAAACTTCCAGGTAAAGGAAGTATACGTATACAGATTACAGATTATATACATGTGTGGGTAGAGAGAGGAAAATGGATTTTCTAGAGAGAGAAAAAGATGGGGTAAGTAGGAAGAAGAAAATGGGAGGCTGAGTTTTACTCTCCTATCTCAAAATTTTAGGCAATTTTTGCTGATAAATTTTGAGTAACATTTTAAAATATATCTTTTTATAAATTTTATAGTAAAAAAATTCTAATATCTGATAATTGTTATGAACCAATAAAAGAAGAAAGTATTGCGAAGATAGAGGAAATTCTTATTGAATTTTGAGATGAATTACAATATAATAGAACCCTTTATTTATAGGGAGATGGTGACTTAGCCACCAAGTAATAAACTCTAGAATCTCTCTAAATATACACATTCACCATAAATAAAACTCTATTTATAACACTCCCCTTGAATGTCTATTCAACAAATAATGTGCCTCGTTAAAACCTTAACTAAAATAAAACCCAATGGGAAAAAAATCTAGAAAAGGAAATGTCACGACCCGAATTTCCCACCATCGGGATCGTGATGGCGCCTACTCATGGTAGCTAGGCAAGCCAACTTATTTACCTTTTTATCACTAAACAATTAATTTAACAATTTATAGCATCAATATAGAACATGAAATTTACTAAGAATAATAGCGGAAGTCTGATTTACAAATCTGAATCAAATACGGAACAGTTAATAAAAGCCTCTACCCAAGATTTGGTGTCACATCACTCACGAACCACTAAGAATATACTACATACAAAGGTCTGAAAGAAACATAGGAGCTGTCTGCCTCGAGACAAGGAGGCAACAGTCTAAAAGAGAGCATAAAGAAGAGACGCCGGGCCTGCGGACGCCTGCAAGCTACCTCGGGTCTCTCTGGACTGAAGGTGCGCCCCCGTGTTAATGCTGCAGCTGCTGCTCAATACCTGGACCTGTGCAAAAAAGCACAGAGTGTAGCATCAGCACAACCGACCCCATGCGCCGGTAAGTGTCTAGCCTAACCCCGGCGAAGTAGTGACGAGGCTAGACTGGACACCACATAAACCTGTGCAGTTATAAATATACAACGGAAACAAGATACCAAACAACTAGAAATATGGGAGGGGAAAACATGTTGTGGGGAGATAACAACAGTAACAGTAAATCCGAAGTAATCAATCTAGGTGCAACTTACAATTTAAAGCGAACAAGAAACTAATACCGACACTAAACACATTTGCATCAATAACTGTTGCGGCGTGCAACCCGATCCACAATTATAACTGTTGCGGCGTGCAACCCGATCCACATATAACATTGTTGCGGCGTGCAACCCGATCCACAATTATAACTGTTGCGGCGTGCAACCCGATCCACATATAACATTGTTGCGGCGTGCAACCCGATCCATAATGTATACCTCTCAACCTTGCCCAAGCAACAGTCACAAATAAAGGGCAAGGGAGTAAACAAGTATTTGGAAAGAAATCCCAACAAGGGTACACAAACAACCAATGACAACCATGCAAGAGTAAATCGTTATTTCTCTTTTTCTCTCATTTTTATATCCTAACTCTCCTTAGCACTCGTGTCAAGCTCTAAGGCATTTCTCATTTCACATGCTCTCACCATTTGTATTTCATACCGAGCCAACGCTCCACGAAGTTCTACAATCACAATATCATTCCCAATATGTTTACCACGTATAGAAGCCATCAATGACATGGAAGGCATAACAATATCCAAACAACTCACATATAAGGACTCACGGTCATGCTAGACCCCAATGTATAGGGACTCGTCACCATGCCTATACACCGTACTCGATCATTTAGCAATTAGCAAACAAGACTCGACTCCTATTCCCTCAAGCTAGGGTTAAACCAAACACTTACCTCAACTTCCACGGCCAATACAATCCTCCACAACCGCTTTCCCTCTCGAATTCGGCTCCAACTCGACCAAATCTATGCAATAAGGACTTCATGATATCAATATGTGCTAAACAAATCAAACCCAATGACTAATTATAGCTTTTTCATCAATTTACCCCCAAAGGTCAAAAATGCCCCCGGGCCCACATGGTCAAAACCCGAGGTTCGAACCAAAACCCGTTTACCCATTCCCCCATGAACTCGAATATGTAAGTTATTTTGGAATCGGACCCCGAATTGAGGTCCAAAACCCCCAATTTTAGAAAACCTAGGTTCTACCCTAAATTCCCAATTTCCCTATTAAAAATCTTTGTTTTGAAGTGAAATTATGTTTAAGGATGTTAAGGAGTAAAGAAAATCAGTTAGAAAACACTTACCAATCGTTTTGAGGAAGTGGAATCGTTTGGAAAATCGCCTCTTATGTTTTTGGGTTTTGAAAAAGTGAAAAATGACTGAAAATCCCGACTTTATATACTGTGCTGAAGACTGGCGCGGACCGCACAAAAATGCACCGTGGCCGCGCCGAGGAAGGGAAGAAAATGACTCTCTGAACCTACCCAGCGCGTACCGCACTGATTTGGTGCGCGGCCGCGCTGGTGGAATGGACCCAAGACCCGCTCTCTGAATCTCCCAGCGCGGACCGCACTGATTTGGTGCGCGGCCGCGCTGGTTGTCCTAGACTTTACTGGCCCTCTGAACCTAGCCACGCGGACCGCGCAAGAACGCACCGCGGCCGCGCGGCTTCCAGCGCGGACCGCGCGGAAATGACCTTTCTAGCCTAAGACCTCCCGGGGACCTACTCAAAACTCACCCGAGCCCTCGGGGCTCCAAACCGAACATACACATACGCTCAAAAACATCCTACGGACTCATCCGTGCGATCAAATCGCCCAAACAACATCATAATCATCAAATTAGGCCTCAAGACCCAGGATTTCCTTCCAATTTACATAAAACATCAAGTTTACTGCTTCCAGCTCAAAACACGTCAAATGACGTCCAAATCTTACCAAACTTCACAGCAATTGCTTAACTCATATTTAAGACTCGTGCCGGGCGTCGGAACCAAAATACGAGCCCACCGCACCGTCTGCTAAACAAATAATACTTTCTAATTCTTTAATTATTATCAGAAAACAATTTCACACAAAACTTCATTCCTCGGACTCGGGGCCTCGGAATTTGATCCCGGGCACACCCCCAAGTCTCATATTTTCTTACAGACCCTCCGGGACTGTCGAATCACGAGTCCGGGTCCGTTTGCCCAAAACGTTGACCGAAGTCAAACTTAATCAATTAAAACATCAGAATTTATTATTTTTCTCACAAATTCATATTTAAACTTTTCCGGCTACGCGCTCGGACTGCGCACACAACTCGAGGCAACCCCAAATGAGGTTTTCAGGGCCTCAGAAGTACAGAGGGAGTAGGAATACAGGCGATGACCCCTTCGGGTCGTCACAGGAAAAAGAGTACACATATCTAATAATACGCCTTTTGGTTGCATCGTTAAAAACCTTGCAAGGAAAACTCAGTGGGACAAAACCTTGTAAGGAAAAAAGAGTACAACGTGTATTAATTCCCCTGATGAGAGCATCAATTCACATTCTTGAGCATTCGCATTCCAATCTTGTGCACCATCTTCAAAAGATCTTTGGTAGAGATTTGATGAACAAATCAGCCATATTAACTTGAATGAATATATTGCACCTTGAAATCATCATTCTTGATAGATATATAATGTCTTCATATAATGTCGTGGAATGGCTCTTCAATATCTCCATAAAGCTTTCCTCGCTATCATATTATCATGCTTATAGTTATAGCAAGATACATTTTTGCACAAATAGCATATGCTTATACTTCAGGATCAAGAATTGTATATGCTTTAAGCAATTTAAATCCTTCAGGGATTATCATATATGTATAGTCAAATAAGCCATATAAATAGACTTTAGATGCATATCAAGTTTTCATGTCATGCCGACATATAAAATACATGAAAGTGATTGCACACACCTATTGACTTTATACTTTCTGAGTGTTTGAACTATATGTCCAAAACTACATGTCTTTCATATGAAACCAAATTCTATTTGAATTTTTTCTCCAGACTTAAGATCCTCATATATATATTTAGCGTTGTCATAGATGTCGTCGACAAACATTTTATGTCGGTTCCAACCTCCTTATATTTCATAATAACATAACACAGATATCTCTTCATTCATATATTCAGGTACCTGAATCTCTCATGAGATTTTATGAAGTGTTATGTCATGTGATCTTCTAGATCACTTGCCTCCTTTATTATGATCATTTGCTCATCTTCTTTATCAAGAAATTTATTTGAAACCGATTTGTCTATACGCTTTAAGCGTACCATAGACTTTGTCCTCTAGGACTTAATAGGAGCATTTGCAATGAGAATATAGTTACTTTCTTTGGGCCAGCAAATGTGTCTGGCATGCTTTGCAATATATTACACATGAATTATCCTTTTATGAACTTCAAGTTCATATTATTTTATTCGAGAATCTAGATGTATAAATGATAATTCATTCCATGTAACTTTTTCTCAACTGTTGTATCTTGTCTCCCCCTCATGTTAGAAAAACTAACTTGTTTCCTCAATTTTAAAAATCCATCTTTGTGTGTTATGGTGTTAATCAAAAAATACACCGCACATCAATAATAATAAGATGAAATTATTTGGTTCCTGACCATGAACCACTTGTGAGGGGAGAAAATAATATACTTTCGTATATAACGTATATCAAACTGATATACAAAACTTTGTTCTCATAAGCAATTGTTTAGCTATCAAGTGGAGGCACTCAATAAATCATTTTGCTAAACCAGCTGTGATGTGAACCAACTTATCAAGATGAACTTCTTGAATAGAAAATCTGGAAATTATGCTCGAAATTAAATTATTGAGCAAGTTACCTCGCAAAACACCATGTTGCGGGTTATTAATAATCGCACATGTAACCATCTCATAGATGCATCTTATGTGGTATACATGGCATGTGAATGGGCCCATATTCACCTTTGATATTTCCAGCATTCATGGGATTCAATCCCAATTTTAGTTGGTCTATTAATTAATGAGAACAAGCAACGTAAGAGAATTCGTAAAGAACTTTCTAGTTCTTTAATATTTACCCATGTGAATTCTCTTTTATTTTTGCACATCATACTTAAATTGA